CGAGAGATAAGCCTGGGGGCAGCACGCCAATGTTTGAGGGACAGTGTGCTAGCGAGGTCCTTCTGTCTGTTGTCTCAGTGGAGGTAGGGGATGGAGATCCATGTGACAGCAAAGATGCAAGGGTTATTGATGTGTTAGAAACCATGGAAGTGCCTGAGAATGGTCGTATAGGAATTAGGACTTCTCCCCCTAAAAAGGTTGCAGGATCAATAGGCCAACTGAAGTGCATCTACACCAATGCACGCAGCGTGGGCAGCAAACAGGAGGAGCTGGAAGCCATTGTGCGGCAGGAAAACTATGATATAGTTGCCATCACGGAAACATGGTTGGATGACTCGCACAACTGGAGTGCTGCAATGGATGGCTATAAACTCTCCAAAAGGGATAGGCAAGGAAGGAGAGCTGGTGGGGAGTATGTCAGGGAGTGTTTTGACTGTCTAGAGATTAATGATGGTGATGAAAGAGTTGAGTTTTTATGGGTAAGAATCAGGGGGAAGGCCAACAAGGCAGATATCATGGTGGGAGTCTGATATAGACGACCCACCCAGGATGAAGAGGCAGACGAAATATTCTATAAGCAGCAGGGAGAAGTCTCACAATCGCTGGCCCTTGTTCTCGTGGGGGACTTCAACTTACCAGATGTCTGCCGGAAATACAATACAGCAGAGAGGAAACAGTCTAGGAGGTTCCTGGAGTGTGTGGAAGAGAACTTCCTGACACAGCTGGTGAGTGAGCCAACTAGGGAAGGCCCCTAGTTGTCAAGCATTGAACAGGCTGCCCAGGGAATTGGTTGAGTCACCATCCCTAAAGGTATCTAAAAGACGTGTAGATGTGGTGCTTAGGGACATGGTTTAGTGGTGGACTTGGCAGTCCTATGTTAACAGTTGGACTTGATGACCTTAAGGGTCTTTTCCAACCTAAACGATTCTATGATTCTGTGATGCAAAGGGGCTACATATTCTTCAAAATAATGCTAGTACAGAGAAGTCAATAATGTCACATAATAATATCAAGCAAATCACTAAGTTATATTTGTCTTCAAGAAATACAAGCATTTTTCAGAGTTCTTGATCTGTTAACGGGCAAACTGAGATGAACATTATCATTATTTTATTAAAAGTCCGTTCAATGAGCATCCAGGTTTCAATCATTGTGTTTTATACTCCTCAAGGTAGAATAGAGCTATTTCAATATCATCCCTGAAGACTTGAAATTATCATTTGACTTTACACAGTAGGTCTCTTCAGAAAGAGAAGATATTATATGTATGTTATACAGACCTTTCAAGAGCAAATATGGTCTTAAGGCTATGCCTTCTTTATATGTTCTTTTCCCTATTTTAGTTCAGCATAACAAGCTCTTAAATCTAGAGCAGCCTTTGGCCAGTACGACACAGTATTGTGCAGCACCTATTTGCTTTTTACTTATTAGAAATTAAGATCTATCGTACTGTTAGTAAAGCTGAAATGAAATTTACTTCTTTTTGCTCATGACTTTTGACAAAATACTGGAAATACCATTTTTAACATGCTCAATTTCTTTAATGAACTACTAAAGTACAGCACATGCTCCTCTCTGCCAGTTTTCCAGACATTTGCTGTGCAATCACCAGGATAAAGTTGACCAAAGCTACTGAAACCTGTATTTCAGAAATGCTACCTCTAACATTTCAGCCAGTATATAATTTTTCTTAGATGGAAATCTAGCTGTGTCAATAAGGTCACTTACCTCAACTAACTTGTTGGCATGTTCACGGAAGACCTGAGCATACTCCTTCACTTCTTTCTCATTACCGCTTTTTGCAGCCTCAATGAGAACCAGTAATGGGACATTGGTCTCCAGGAATGAATCCGATATATGATCCATTACTGCCTTCCGTAGCTGTGACAAAAGAAAGCAGACCAGTAAATAAAAAGAGAATTATCAATATTCATTGGCTACCTATATTTAAGCATTGATGTCGCATCTCACGGCATTGTATGGGAGTTTAGGCTTTTTTCTTTCTTTCTTCCAAGTTGTATATTTGCAGCAAGCATACAAATGTCAAACACTTAAGGGCCTAGCTCTGCAAAACTCTCCTGAGATTCATGCTGACTCACACATCTAATCCCACTGAACTGAATGGATCTATATAGGACAATGGTGATTACCCACATAATACATTGCAAATTGATGAGAATCGAAAGCTGCACGCTACTTTAAAAAACAGTTCAGCTCACTTAAAAGCCAAATATGGATTAAGGAGCTTAACTTCAAGCAACCATTAAAAATATTAGCCTGAATATTTCTAAGCCTTCTCTAATTCCTGCACTGAATTGTATTCTACACAATAATGAGTATTCGTTTAGCACATGCCTTGTGCTTCATATTCTCTTTCAAATACCTCCAACAGGTATAAACAGAAAACCTTTCTAAGCATTTTCCAGGTGGATTAGAAAACATACTACAATTTATTGCAAAGGAAAAAAAAAAACACCCTACAAGTTACTGAAGATTAAACACCTGTTATTTCATAAAAACATCTGTTTGAAACAACATTACTGTAAGAACAATGTCACTTCTTCTCTACCTTGCTAATAACCACTAATTAACGTCAAACTTCACTAAAATTTGAAAGACAGCCAGAAAGATGACTGAAATCTTAAGTAATTCTTCCTGGAAGCTTAATTGCTCTATAGGAGTATGGATCAAACATTTTTAGCATGTTTTCTCCAGCTTTTTGGTTGTTAAGAATGAAAAACTGTGGACTCAAACACAAGCTGGGAGCTATTCAGCCTGGAGGTCTGCCTAGCCATTAGTCGCCTTAAATCATGCATTTTTAGTTAGATGAAACATCAGGAAAGGTAATTTTCTCTATTTTGCAGTCCAGATAAAAAAGCTCTAGCTAGGCAAGGTGTCATCAAAACATCCAATCATACTGAAAACTGGTATATTGTTAGGCACTGTAAATACAGTAAAAACACTTTTAAAAACCAAGATGCATTTGCTGTTTGACAGCAGTAACTGTCAGCCATATTTGAATAAGGAGAAAGCTAACTTTCACTATTTCCATTCAATCCCCAAGTGGTGCAGTAAAAACAAGCAAAGCAAAATAGCATATATGTGTTTGCATGAGGTATTCCTTTTATTTCTATTACAACTAAAGCAGTCAATGTATTAAGAACAGCAATTCTTAATTCCCTTTAAAAATTAATTCTACTCAGATTCTACCTGGAAACTATTTTTCCACTTCCAAAATGATTAAAGGCACTCAGAATAGCTAACACAGTAATATATACAAATGGGGGCTGGGGAGGAAGGACAAAAAAGAGAAGAAGAATACATCAAAGAGACCTGCCAACAGTTAGGAAGCTGGTGTGTAGTTTCTGCTACCTATCACATTGTTATCTTGTACTCTTTCATTTTTTGTCTCATCAATCTGCTGATATCCACTTGCTGACTCTTATTTTATTCTTATATTGAAAGCTCTTTCAGGCTGTCCTTTGGGTCTGTTTGCACAGCATCTTATACAATGAGATCCTGATCCATGAATAGTTTTCATAGGTACCATCTCAATACAAAGATAAACACTAATATTGCTTGACATATATCAAAGCATTGTGAAAAAAGAAAAAAATACACTAAGATGTTAAGTGTCAGGGAATAGTGCACCAGCATAGCACTCTGCATTATATGGCGGATAGATTTCCAATCACTATGTACATCAATCCTTCCCTACTGAATAAAGGGTTTCATCTATAGCCAGCATTAAGGGAGAGAGACTGCCAGAGAGGGTTTGTCTCACGTTTGCTTAACCACCCTCTGCAGATGTCCATCTCCCAACACTTGCTGAGAAGCTCTGCTCCCAAGTTAGATGCCTCACTTCAGTACCTACTTTTAGACTTTTTGAAGTCCATTGGACAAAAATATGCCAAATGGTGGCATTTCCAAAGGAACACACAAAGGTTTTAAAAATCCCATATGGTTTCCTTCTCATTCTCAGGGAAAATCTTTAAAAAATTCCACTTGCTCAAGTTCAATTTATCAATAAAACCTACTGTCCACTGCACTGAAAAAACTACTTTAAATGTTAAATGAACACTGACGTTTTTCTGTTTATGTCGTTCCATAAGGAGGTATCTGTTTCAAAGTGTTGTGTTCAATGAATAAGCAATTCAATTTTTAATCAAGATTAATATGGTATTATAGATTTGCTTATAACAATATGCCCCATGGAACTGTAAGAAAAGTCTCAGGATGTTTAAGTACGCAGCTTATTTTCACCAGTATTAAATACCTTCAGTCTACAACAACATACTAGAAATCCCCAAAAAGGACAGTAAAAACATCAGCTAACCAGCAATTTGAGGTTTACCATTGTAAATATATAGTAGAGTTATATCTGAATAAAAATGAATGAATAAAATGGATATCTTGTTTCTAATTGTAACTGTACGTTGCCTTCTGCAGTTCAGAGTTGCAGCAACTGAAAAAAAATCTGAATTCTGACTGTCATAGGTTTGATAAATATACAATTAACAACTTCTATTTTCCTATGCTGTGTTAATCATAGATGTCAGTAGCATATTGCTGACCCCTCATGTAAACATGCATTATAATTTCTGTAGAAATTGGTTATCTGGGTTTTAGGACGCCCTTGTTTTGAAGTTGAAAGTATAGTTAACGTTTTTTTATATACACAGGAAACCACAAATTTTGCTATCCATCACCACAGGCTATAAAGAATGACTTGACAAAAATAATTTGTTAAATGTGACAGGAATATGAACATAAGACATTCATCCAATAGCTGAAATGGATACATGACAAGACAATATTAATTGCACAAGACAAGACATTTAAAAGCATTAGCTCAGCATTACCAGTCTATTTGATCCAATTAGGGGGGGTGTGAATGCACCGCCACACCATCAAGGTAAATGACTACTGGAAAACTAATCTTGTATATTCCTCAGCATACTGCAGCTAAGTCCAGCCAAAGTGATGGCTTATGCATCCAGAGATTTTACTGTTTCCTACAACCAACATCAGTTCAGAAGGGAATGGGAGAAGTCTGTGACTTGAATTTAAACATTCATAAAACATGTGGTAAAAACACGTCAAGTTTTATTCTAAAAACAGCATGAGATCTTGCGCTCGTATGTACATTAACAAATGTCTTTGCAATGCGTTAATTTACCCTGCATTCTGATGTAAATATTATGACACAAACTGTTACTCATAAGACAATGCTTTAGTTTCCAACCCGCCCCACCCCCCCACTCCCTCCCGCACTGAATTTTTAAGTTAGAGGTGACTTCAAAGTGCAGGTAGTTTCCACTACATGAAACTCCATTTGTCAGAGGAGAAAGCACATTAAATAAAGGTCTTGCTTAATTCATTTTGTCACGAAGAAAACTTTATTAATTAACATATAGCTAAAAGAATAATAAGTTTGCCAGACCAGCACAAAGATATAAAAGGAAAACATCGAGACCTGCAAATATTTTTGAAGTATGAATGGTGTACCACAAGGCACATTTTATGCCTTTCCAGTTCAGTCAATTTAGTCAGTTTATGGTGCAGAATCAGTTGCTGGTTTTGATAGCATCATGTTCTACTGCTCTAAGCACTATTTAGGGCTGTTTTATCATTGTTGGTTCACAACTATAATGGAGCTCAAAAAGGTTAAACTGGCCACCAAAATGATGTTTTCTGTGGCCATATAACAATTTTAGAACCAAAATGTCTCAGTGCTACTTACAGCCTAGTAAAGAATTAAGTGTCTAATCCTGACTCTGGAAGGTAAAGTCACAGCAGGAGATCAATGACTCTAACAGATTGCTAAATTTTATAAAGACTGGCAGTATAAAGCTATCTGTAACAAAAGTTTACCAAGGAGCACCTTATTCACCATTTTCTATTTAACGTGCACTACAAGCTGAACCCAACTCCAGTTTGCAGCTGCAGAGCACTCCCAAACAGGTATTAATTTAATTGAAAGGGATGAAAATAAAGCCTTTTCCACTGCAGTTAAAGCGTGTCTTCTCCAATACATTGTGAAATTGAGTTCTAGAGAATAAGACAGTGACCATTAGAAGCTACTGCAGTAGACTGCTAAAGAGAAAGTCTCAGTCGATTCTGTGCACAACAACCCATGAAGATGTAACCAAAAAATGGTAGATTGGGGGATGTGGACGCTAATGCCATCAATTATCTCTTGATAGATTAAACAGCAAAGAGATTAACATTTAAAGCATGTATCACACTTGGAGAATCACACTACAGATTTCTGGAATATACTACATAAAAATACTTAAGATTTGAGCCTAAGAAAAAAACTCAGGAAGAAATGCTCTTACAAAGACTGATCATACTTACGTATTTTTCTGTGTGTGAGCTTTCTTCTTTCTAAAGAGAAACTTTCCTAGTCAGGGAGAGACTGGGGATGAATTTACTAATGGAAAGCAACTTGACAAGTTTTGACCAGAAAGTTGAAAGAGAATAAGACACACACAAAAAGAGTTCCTCCTACTCATAGGTCACAACAAAGGATTCCTCAAAATGGTATATGGCCAGAAGCACAGAAGAACTTAGGTACTTAATCCTCATTGATTTGTTTGTTCTTTTTTTAGGGGGGGAGGGAGGGCTTGTGACTTGGAAATTTTATACTGCCTTTTCAAAAAATGTTTTTTGGCAAGAGCAAGTCTTGGGCTTGCTAACAACATTACAGCAGTTACATAAAAGCATAGAAAAATGTATAAGCTTGGGGGACAGATGTCCACATACCGCCCAAATGTATGAGTATTATGAGGGCAAGAACTCTGTCTTGTTTCATGTCTGGATAGAACAATAAAATCCTAATGCCAATTGGAGTGCTGGGATAGGACCAAATATTTATT